TGACCGAGCTCAGAAAGCTATCAGCTGTGTCGAGTATTAGAGGGCTATACGAGGGCGAATCATGGCAAGTATAGTAGGACTGCCCCGTTCCCTTAGTACATCGTAAACACACATCGCTAATCGGGACAGACGTCATAATAATTCCTAATCATTTGCAGATTCTAAATATATCTACCCGTTCGAAAAATTTTGTTTTCGCAGCGGTTCCTACCGTCCGAAGACAGATCATGGTCCGGCCTAACAGAGTCAGAACCTCTCGCAACATTTCGGTGGAATCTTGAAGTATGGGCTGAACGTTTTGAGCATCCAAGGTACTGAACCTAAGTTGCGGAGTTGATTGAGGGTTTGTCTCACTTGGCCTTGTCACATCGGGGCTAAGCCATTCCCACTTAGAGTGATCCTCCTTATATAGTATTGGTCGAGTGCTTTTGACTTTGCACTGAGTACATAATGCTCAGCTGGCCCCTAGAGGCCTAAGCTCTCTGTGAACCACAAACAGTCTTTGTACTGGGGCTCTAACTGGGGCGCGAATTGGATTCTGAGTCTAGAGTCTACTGTAATGAATGAGATCGTGCACCGGTGATGGACCTATCTGATTTCTCAACAGACTAAAGAATAACGAGCCCCGACAGTGAATGATCATTGGCAAGCCTAGAGAACGTGAGTGCTTGATTCCTATCATTTTATAACAACTCCAAAGGGGAACTGTCACCTGTGTTTGTGCATGTCGACTATTGGGGGTAATCATCTTATTGGTTCGTTTGCAGGAAAGGTCCCAATTGCTTTGTCCAGACGCTCAGGTTAATTTGATGACCTCGAGTTAAGAGAGGTTTATTACTTTGTGTGTGGGGTTCACCAAGCGTCTCTGTAGTTTACCCTATCTGCGGTTTGTCTGGCTGTAAGCTCAACAAAGCCATGAAGGAGGAGGAGATTCTCGTAATAAAATAAAGTCGACTAGAGACAAGAAGGAGGGATGGGAAGAAGAAGCATGCCATGACATGGCCTTACATGGACTGACTCAGAGGGAACGGGCGGTGTGGATGGTCAGAGAAGAGAGATAATAGAATATGTGATCTATTTTTACGACCATGAGGGCATGCTGCACAACACCGGCTCATTGCTAGAGACAGTGGAACAGGCCAGGGCAATGCTCAGATGAGCACGGGTATATCTGGATTCCTCGCCTGGAACACCCGCCAGCACACCGTATAACGGAGCACCATCTAGTAACCAGGCAGTTCATTCAACACGTGCGGTCAAAAGACCAGCTCAGCGACTTATCGCCTAGCCTCATTCAAACTTTAGAGTTATTATAAGTCGTCAATTAGCATTCAATCAGCATTCCATCAACGTTCTAACAATACTCAGTGTTGTTATCTGCGAGCAGCACTCAGCGCTGCTATCAAGTGAACAATACTTGGCGCCGTTATCAGCGAGCAGCACTCAGCGCTGCTATCAAGTGAATAGTACTCAGCGCTGTTATCAGAGACCAGTGCCCAGCGCTGTTATCAGTGAGTAGTACTCAGCGTTGCTAACAAGTGAACAGTACTCAGCGCTGCTATCACCTGAGCAGTACTCTGTGTCGTTATTAAGTGGGCAGTATTCAACCAGTATCCAATCAGTATTAAATCAGTATTAAATCAGTATTTAATCAGTGTTCAATCAGAATTCAATCAGTGGTCAATCAACATTCAACCATCCGGGTTACTCGAACCTTCCAGTTAGAGCCAATCAGTTTTAGTACCCACCCCAGCACATGAGTACGATTCAGTCATTTCCAGTCAATGGGTCCGTTTTGGCCAGTCTCAACATCATAGCACTCAAGGATGCTATCCAGTATCAATACATCAATGTCATTGGCTTCAGTCAAAGGGGTCTGTCAATCTTTGTTGTCCTCACCAGCTTCGCAGGCGGGGCTATCCGAGACCCTACGTGAAGAAGGGCAAAAAAGTTCATGAGCACTTCGATTCAGTCTGGATCACAGCAGCCAGGTACCTTGAGGAGAGAGAAAGGGAGCTTGATGAGAGTGGGACAAAGTTGATCCGTAGCTTCAGACCCAAGCTCTACACTGATTATCCTAAGCCTCCAGTCCCCTTCACTCTTACGGATGTGGTTCTAACTGGGGTGAACTGGTGGATCTAGCCAAGAGGTACATTTCGCCTGCAGTGATTGATTATGAGGCGGTGACCGAACCATCAGAGTTCCAACATCTCAGACGAGGGATTTTCTCTCAGCCATATCTTCGTACTCTATGGGAAGAGTTCTGTGCTATGGTTGACTTTCGTGTCATGGGACTCGGTTGGAAATGCTCGGAGCTCGCAGGGTTCAGGTGGCTCTACATCAAGAGGCCACAACCTCAGAGAGTACAGGGACGTGGCTTGAAGCACAGGAAACGCACAACAAAATGAGAAATCGAGTGTATGACCTAGAGGGATGAGTGAGGACTCCTGATTAGTGCTGGCCACTCTCCTTATGTGTACTCTCTGAGATCATTTTGAGTTCTCATTCTTCCCTCATTTATCTTGTCCTTGCCCGAGTCAGTCAGTCTTGCTTCTATTGCATTGCCTCTACTTGATGAGTGGATTCTTTGATGATCCTGTCACAGTTCTCAAAACTAGAAAGTTGGCAAAATTGATGCATGCATGACATATCTGAATTTTGTGATTATTATTTGCATGATTCTTTGCTGTTCCGAATCAAAATAAAAGATTCCTAAGACCGAGGACCGGCGAAGACCGCAATTGAAGGGTCTCGCTCGAAGCCGAGCGCACGCAACAGGAAGGGATTTGCTTTATTTTATTTTTTGCAAACATCAGCATCTAAATCCTGCGTGACAGCCTGTTGACTTTCTTGTCGCCTGAAGTGGCCCGACGAGAAAAAGTGCGGCAGCGTGTCTAAAGGTGTGCACACGGCCCACCCCTGTGCCTCGAGTCCTGTTGAGCTGGCCAGCCCTGCACAATGTTTACCCTCACATGCAGCGAGCCTTACACTGACCGATTGGTTGATCATGATGCGTTTTAGGAAGGCCCCCGAAGTCCTCAGGAATTATTTAACGTCGCAGACAGGACGACGATCACAGCCAATGGAAGGTCCCCGCCGATACTTATTTATAGACGTCCGGTACTCTTCTTTCCCATAGGGCTGGCCTGCCCCTCAGAACCCCTCTAATATCGCAGTAGGCAGACAAAGCACAAAGCAACAAAGCATGCGTGCTCTACTCCCTGTAAGTTGGCATGGTGACCGTGACCCAGTGCTTCGTCCAGGGCCGTTCAGATAGCTCCGCCCTCTCCTTCCAGATGCTCCACGTGAACAATGCCGACTCTCAAGGTTGAGCGCACTCGACTCCTCACATGAGAGGACTCTCAAGACATAACACACATCCTCACGGTAAGAAGTGTCGAAGAGGGTAGATAAGGTTAGGTGCAACGTACCTCAAAATAGTTGCCCCCAACCACAAATATTCTCACCAGATGACCTGATGCCGGTTGTGATGACCAATCGCTGCTTCGGCACAACCAGCATTACACCGCTGTTCCACCTCAGCATCAATCGCACATCAGATAGTTCTCATCACACTGCGAACACCCACCACTCACCTCGTAACCTTCCTGGCGATACCCCTCACCTCCTGGGTCGCTTGTATAGTTCTCATCAC